AGCTCACGGTGACGTAGGGGCCCCTCTGTCTACCACCGATCATCTAAGGTGAGTCCCCGGTGGAACGAAGATTTACGATCGGCGATCGCGCGTATGACCGCAGCCGCACCGCCAATTCACACCCGAGGTGGCGTTCGGGGTGAAGCCACAGTATCTTTTCTCCGTTTAGAATTTGGACCATCTATTCTTATCGTTGTAAGAATTGTTTACGTAGGTTTCTGATATCGGGAATATGTGTAATGGTATAGTAAAGGGTAAATCAAATATTTTCACTGTTATGCATGTATGGTTTCTTCCGAAAGAATTGGATACAGTAGGAGTTTTGCGCAAGATCGCATTTTTCTAAACGCAACTAAAAAGATGGAATCTAACTAAAGGATCGTTTCATGCTTCAAATACTTCTTACGTATAACGAGAAGTTTGCTTTGCAAGTTTTATATACTTTTCCACGTAACCCGAGTACCATAAGAGAATGCATTAATAGTTTACTTATCTTTATTGGTAGCTCACTTTGAACAAGAATATCATAGTCTTTCATCTATTTTAAAAAGAAGCGGACAAAGCTGATTGACATTTAGTCTTTTGCCATGACTTATAACTAGGTCCCCTATTATGGTGGTATTTGACTTCTTTCCACGACTACGTTCTTACGTAATACGTGTAACTTGAAAGAGAAGAATTGAAATCTCCGATGGACGACGCAAACAAAAGCTTCGTTCAACCTGGTTTCCATTATAATCCGTCGACTCGCGATCGTAGCTACTTTCATAAGCATCTGGAAAGTTTAACTTGAACGGTGGACTGATGACTTGCGAAAATATCGCGTACCAGTGGAACTCGGCGTAAGCCTCGATCCGGCTTCTTTTTTTTCACCAGTGTCTCCCCTGGCTGTCCGATAGAGACGAAGCAAAGTCCGAGAGTCCATCCTCAAAGCTTGCAGGCCGCTGAGTGCATGCCTTTCTTCTCGACAGAGACGCGAAAGAGGAAAGAAGACAAAGACAGAGGCACGCGGTAAAGCGTACTAATCTCCCAAGTAGACACGCTAATGAAAGCTCGGATGCCACTGTCTTTCCCAGTTTTTTTTCAAGGCTCGCTCGCTGTACGCGCATCTTTTGTCTCCCTGTTTTCAACGGAAATTAAACCCAAGACATTGAGATTCCGTACGTCGTAATAAGGATTCCTTCATTCGCCCGATAGGCATGTTAACAAATTCCAAAGTTACGTCGTTACCGTGATACTCGCATTTTTAGACATATATTTCAGGAACAAGTTTTCTTACTTAATTCTGTAATGTATAGAAATTCGTAGTATAGTTCAGTATACGTGCATTTGGCTACTTTCTAACTGCATCGTTTTGAAGAAAATTGAACTGGAATATTTCTCGAGTATACGTGTACCGATGTCAGATTTGGATTATGGTAAAACAAGATCGATTTTCTCGAAAATAAAATCGCCAATTCAGTTTTGTTATTTTCGGACTTCGTCTTATTTTCAGTCATAGAATTTCCACGTTTGTCCACGTTTGAACCACGATTTTCGGTCCATCTTATATAATGTGCGTATAAGTAAGCTAAAAAGTTAAGAGAAATCATTAAAACATTAAGAAGAGCAATAACGAAATCAACAAGGAAGGTTGCGCTTGAATAGGCAGACATTTGTATAAGTCAAAGTAAAACTCACGTGCTAGCCAAAGAATAGCGTACTGGGATCCTTGTTATTACCTGATGGTTTCCGCGCCCCTGACTAAGGGTGCTCACAGTACCTCTACCATTCCCAATCTCCTCGCATCTGTCAGGGCACGCGAATCGCGTTTGCACTTGAAAGATGAGGTCCGGAGAGAAAAGAAATAACACGTCCACGGTGGTACTTCCCCTTCTAAAGAGATCAATTAAATCGTTCTTGTTCAATTGCACGAAATTAATTCGCGTCAAATGGAACAATAGAAAAATATATTTTGTCCATTCTGGTATTTTTCCTTCAGTGCCCGATTATTATTGCATATAGTACGTAAAAATACAAACAAAAAAGATTAGAAATTAAAAATAAAGTAAAATTATAATATATATAGAGGATGAAAGAAATTTTTATTTAAATTCCATTTCCTTAGTTCTATTGTAGTGCAACGATAGATATTATTAAATTTCGTAAAAATATCAATTTGCATAAATATGCAATTGGTTCTGTTAATTAATCAGTTTTACAGAATAGTTTCGTTAATTTACGTTTAATAATTTTTAAGTTTCGATACTTTAACAATTCTCTTGGAATGTTATGGATTATAGTTAGAAATTGAAGAATGAAAATTTAATATTCTTATGTGTTGTTTGTTATGAAATTATCTGCTTACGGAGAAGATTTAACTCTGCAGATTTTTAGACGCGAAGAAAGCACATGTTAGAATAATCAAGTTTACCTGAAAGAAATAATTAATTACCGTGAGTTGGAGCATAACTGCGCTCGTCCGCCAACATGACATTTCATTTCCTTTACAAACAGTGTAAACATCCTCCATTCCCGCGTCTGCTGAATATTTGAACGTCTGTATAAATATGTCGCAACTCGTATTTTTCCTGACCCCACCCTTCAATTTCAAAGCGTCAATTATTCTTGTCCATTATACCGCGCATACTCTTCCACGGTTCGTAAAAGTTCCGTGATGTAAATGTCTTGACCATGATTTAATTCTTTGAGCTAAATATCAGGATTTTTGACAACACTCTTGTACAATCGTTTTCTTATCAAACCACGACACATAATTATTTTTAAATCTGAAATATAACACGACTTCTACTGCAGAGATTTCTTATGTGACAACTAAAAATCATTACACTTATCAAATCAAACGAGGTTAGTATTATAAGAAGTATTACTGAAAATTCGGAACGCGATTTACTCACATCGTTCTAAGACTTTGTCTTATAAACTTCAAGAGATTGAACCATTAATAGTCAATAGTCATTTCTGACTACCGTTTCGCAAGCTTTTAATCGAATCAAATCAAAAACAGACACTTTACGAGTATCGTATACGCGACACAATACGAGTAAACTAATAGATCCACAAGACAAGTCGAATAATTTACATAAGCGAAACATTTATAGTACTCCCCTTCTGGAAGCTTTTAATCCTTGCACACGTTAATATCCAAGTACCTTCGAAACGTTTCCATCCTGAAGGATTTCGACTGCGACGATCTTCCGCGAAACATTTTTGCTCGAGTCATTCGCCGGCGGTTTTCATGAGCCGAAAGAATTGCACAAGGGGTAGCGAAGGGGTTACTCCTTGTTGCAAGACAGAATTCCGAGAGTGGCAGGGAGAGAGAAACAGAGAGGATCGAGAGCACAATGACCGCAGCGAATCACGAGTGAATTTGAGAGCGAAATCGCAGGATATTGTTTGCGAGACAGATGCATCATACACATCGAGAGGAGAATGTGAGCTGCTGTCGATGAAAAGGATTCGCAAAAGGGCCCAGCAGAGCAAAGCCGCGATTCCTTTGCATTCGTCTATCCGGGAAGAACCCTTTCATTTGCATCTGTCTCCGAAATGCAAAAAGGCCTTTTCCAAAATACAGATGTTCCTAACCGGCGGGTTAGTCCGCGAGCAGCCGCTCAAGTGGAACAGAAAATAGGATATTGTGCGTTCTTTGGCTTCCTCCAAGACATTCGTTTCCACCTTCCAGGTACCCTTCGAATCTCAATTCGGTCGTAGGAGGGACAGATGTGACCAGCGATCATCTGCTTACCCCTTCGATCAAAGAAAATCACGTTTAACGAGCGATGTTTTCAATCGCTTCCGCTCGCGGCGAATAGGCGATTTTGATAGGCATTTTTCATAAACGTGACGAACTACCATAAGTATTTCTTTGCGTTGTACTTTTATTCTTCCCGCGAAGAAATTGTTTTATTCTCTGAAACTGTTTGGTTTGGGATAGTCAGAACTTCAGATATTAAGGACTAAAACCAATAAAGACAGTGAAATAATTTTGAAATCATAGAAAATTGGTTGATAGATGTAAAGTAATATTTCCAATCACATTACCGTGGATTTTATGAATTTAAATTTTAGGCTTGCATCGGATAGAAAATATAGGAAGGAAAGATTCGACGAAATAATCTCGATATAGGAGATCGTGGTTTATGGTTATGCTCCTGTCACACGACAAATTAATCAACTGATTATTTTTAAATAAGCAGCGTCGACACTTGGCCGAATTTTTCCGCTTATAATTCTCATCGTTAGAGCATGCAGCTGTACGCGTTTA